AGGCTTTCTTAATTAAATAATGAATTATGTACACTTTTTTATATAGTATTAAATTAATTTTCAGGCTTGATATGTAATTTACTGTCTTCTGCATATTCGTCTATAATTCGTAAATTATAGATTTAACTTAAAATTTTAAAGTGTTTATAATTTACATCTACCAAATATTATAAAATGTAATAACCTTTTTTCCAACGTTAAATTTATAGAATAAAATGTATATGTTCAATATCAAAATTTTATCTTATATTATATTTTCACTCAGACTTATCGAATTTTTTTAGTATATTTTTTATGGATTTCGTATGAAAAAAACGATATATTGCTACATATTTGTCGAGTTAAGCTTAATAGTCTAAACATAACATTACAAACGGGTAAAAATTATATGAATTTTGAATCCCAAATTTCAATAAGAAATTAATATCAATTAATTGCTTTATTTTTTTTCTTCTAACAAATAATACGTTTATAAATAAAGACTTATAATTTCCAAATAAAATAAATGATTGTATTAAAATGAAATAACTGTCAATAACTTATATATAATTTCCAAAGAAATAATGCATATAAAACATATTTGAATATTTGATACGACGTTGTATAATTGCATCACTGCAATTAAGTCAGAGATGTTATTAAAAAATGTGTCAAAAACATATGTTCAAATAAATTTAACAAAATACATTTCAACTGAAATGTAAATAAAAACAATTTACGGACACGAAATTAAAAGTTCAAATTAATCCAGAAATAATGGCAGGTATTTTAAAAACTAAAGGACTTTTAACATCTCTCTCATTTAATTAATATTTATTAGAAAATCAGCAAATATCTGAAACTAAGGAATCAACATCAACCAACCAAAAAGATGAGAAATCTGATCCTCCACTATTTCCAGCGAAACCAGGAAAGAAACCAAACTATGGCACAAATAATACGTTAGAATTGCTTGAAAAAATACCTAGTAAAATAGTCGATTTAAAATTGGATGAAGTGTTAACCGCAGTTAAGACAGTTGACAATATGTGTGATTTTCCGCGATGCAAAACAAAAACAAGTTTAATTGGTCAAGACTGTGAGCATTGCCGCAAACGTTATTGCTTTAAACATGCATTACCAGAAGTTCATGGTTGCGGTGAGGCTATTAAAAAAAATGAGCGTACAAAATTTTTGCACCCAACGCCTGCTCAAACTAAAAAACAAGAGAAAGACTTGGTGAAGGCAAAAAAGAAACTTCACGAAAAATTGGATGAAATGCAATTGCAACGCAAACAAAAGCCTGCTGGTACAAATAGTAACAGTGGCAAAAAGAAGAAAGGGAAATAAGTTATATATTTTCAAATATCACCTCTCAACAATATATTGAGATTATATTTAAGCATGATAATGTGGTATTAGATAGATATTAAAACCGCTTATTGTAAAGTTTAAATAACTTCAACAGTTATCTAAGCGCATTTACAAATTTGATTTAACACAAATGTCCTGAAATAAAAATATTAAGTATATTATACTAAATTGAGATTTTTATGTTTATGAAAACAAGTTTATTTCACTTAAATTTCATTAATTAAACTTGAATTTTGGGAAAAGTGCTTAGTGATTTTTATGTTATGAGTTGACAATACGTAACAACAAATATATAAAATTTATATTAAATACTATTTGTCATCGAAGAATTTAATAGTAAGGATTTCATAGCGTTACATCAAATATGTAGATGAAAGTCTCATCTTCATTAGGAGCCAAAAAACTTCTAAGTAATTCGTTTAGATATATAATATAATTTGTTTTAAAGTGCATTGCATTAATTTCAAGAAGTGATTTCTTGGCCAAAAAAATGAAAATTTTCGTATTGGCAGTATAGATTCTGTGTTTAATATATATCAAAATTCGCGGTGTCAAAAACCTATTACCAGGGTATTTTAAAAACACTTGTTGAAAACATTATAAATTTAAAAATAGTAATAAATTCTGGGCCAAGTGACATGTTTAAAAATTAATAAACCTCTAAGCTTTATAGTTTAAACGTGAAAACAGTTATTAAAACGGAGCCTTCTGGGAAACACGAAAGGAATGATAGCAGTTCATATAATTTTAATATACAACGATTAATTTAAGAGCTGAAAAGTATTTTGTAAATATAGTTAATATAACATATACAATAAAAAAATATTAATTGTGATTATCATATCTTTAAAAGCTTATGCGATTTTATGATTTTCATTTTATAAAATATATTGATAGACTACTGCTTAAATATAATTATGTGACTAAAGTTATTCTAACGTGTCATATTTAATGACTAAAAATTTTAAGCTGATTAGATGTTATAACATTCTTTAAATAGTTATATTAGTGCTTAATGTCAATCAGGCATAGAGGAATATGAAATTATCAATTAAAACATCAACTAACATCAACAACCGTTTACGTCTAACGTAAACCTGTTAAAATTCTCTAATTATGTTTTGCCAATATATCGAACATATTTTGAGCAGTGCTAGTCTTTTAATTGCAAAAACAGGTTAATTTATTATTGCTACACACAGATATCATATATATATAACGTTTAAAGTAATTAATGTGAAGTAAAATATGTAATAAAAATGCCTGCAATTTTCTTAGAAGTTTGAGAACTTTTATTGAGCATCATATAAACGATGCGCACATGGGTCGTCTAACTTTTAAATATAAACACAGCTGATTTGTATTTGAAAGGTAAAAAATATAAATATTGTTCAAAGAAAATTTGTTCTTAATTTTAAATAAAATAAATTTATTGAAATGATTTTAAGAAACCAATTAACTAGAAATTTAATAAATGTATGCCGCCACTTTAGCTATGAACAAGGGCAAAGACCTACACCTAACGTTAGAGAATATTTTTATTACATCGATCATGAAGGCATGGTTTGTATTCACATCTACTTTATATAAGTTATTTAGTTTAATAATTCAAATAAATTATTTACAACAGTTATTTTTAGATGATGCTAAGATAAAGAACTTTACATCTTGTTTGAAAGAAAAAAAATTTTTGAAATTTTTCTTCAATCGTGTTAAGTTAAATAACACAAAAAGATACGACACTGAGTTTCCATATATATCACCTTGTGGACGAGAACTTAACTACATAAGATGCGATGATGTACCAATTGTTTACACAGAAGTAAAACAAAATTGTGAAGAAGGCAAAGATGAATTGCTTTATGCTCATGCGGGAGATTTGTTAAAAGTTGATTTTCAACCCGAAAAAATTTATATGAATCCTACAACTGGAAGAGTCTATCATCCAGCTTGGCAAAAAGTAGGTGATATTGGCTTGATTCGCTCTAAACTTGCTATAGAATTAAGTAAAAACTTTGAATTCAATAATGGAGAACAAATGTCACCAACACATTTTAATTGGCGAGGAAAATGTTATCCATTAAAAAATGATTGGATACTTGGAATTAAAAAATATGGAATATATGCCTAGACGCGCGTACAAATATATTGATATTATTATTGTAAGATTGATTTCCACATAGTGTGTTATAAAAAAAATTGGTTGAAAAAGTACGTTTTTTTAAAAAATATTTTAATGTTTATGTAAAAATATAAAGGATCTGTTTTAAATGTATTGTTACAATTATTTAATTTTGCGTCTGTGATAACTCAATAAAATATTAATAGATTAATAAAAACATTAACATTAATAAACTATACAAGTAATAATAATTTATTCTAAGCTTAAAGGCGTAAATTCTCCTTCTTTCACCCACGACAAACCTTTTGAATTGGTCGAATTTGCGGCATTAGATGAGTGTTTGTTTAAACGTATATGCTCCATTGTGGGTCCATGAACTTCCTGTTCAAACTTTTCAAATGTTATATAATGTGGATCATCTGTGGGTGATTGCTCATATATTCGATCTTTACTATTGCTCACACATTCTTTAACTTGTGCAATAAATTCAGCACGATTGTGTCTTAATAATTCAGCAGCTTTTACGTTATTACACTGCGGGGTGCCTTCGGTACCAGCTACCATATGTAGACATTCTAATGTATCTACAAATATAGCCTGCAAGTATTTTAATAATTGCCATACATGATCTTCACCAGAACGCCAATGCGGGAACGCAGCTGATATGTCTAAGGTACCAGTATAGGGACAAACTAACGGATGAAAAATATCGCTTTGAAAAATAATTGTCTATAAAAGAATGAATTGTTTAACAAATGTAAATTAAATTTATGAATTAACTTACTGGAGACGTTTTATCATCAGGAAATTTATCTGGTAATAGGATAGTGAACCGAAATATTCCACCTGCGTAAAATCCCTGTCGTATGAAAATCACAGCATACCAAACTGTAAGTGTTAAATTTGATTTATCAGGAATTATTAAATAAAATCAAATACATTATTCAAAAAGTTTAGTTTATACAAATTATAATAAAAAGTAGAATCACTTACGCAATGAGTTCCCGAAAGAAGGTATAACGTACACTCCTCCTATTTGCTCCGATTCAATCATTTTGCTTAAATTATGGATATTTAAATATTTGTAATTTGATATTTCAATTTACTTACTATTCAGCCAAAATTTTATATTCTTGCTGAATTGTGGTCAGCAATTTTTCATCAGTTTTATGTGCTTCTAACGTCATTATATTAATACCAATTATATTTCACAAAAAATGATTACAATTCGCTATAAGATCTAAAGAAAATATAAACATAACATTAAGAACAGCTGATTCAGAGTTTATCAATAATCAGAGTTGCATTTAAAAGAATAAACTACTTCAAATTAGAATTTAAATCACATACAACACTGAAGGTACATTATGGTAAAAATATTATATAGTGGGAAGGCAATACTGACATCTTTTTTAACAAATTGATTACCTATCAAAATTGCTTTTAAAATACAATTTACGAAATCAGAAAATTGTAAATTTCTTTGGCAGTATAGCAGAAATTCTGCCTTTGTTCAACCTTCGTACGAAATCAAAGCTAGTAAGCCTGTGCAAAAATTAACGCCTTACGAAAATTTTACTGAGCAAAACCAAGTTCATTTGTTTTGATATTAACAAGCCACGGCCCAATGCGCAGTCACGACAAAATTTGGGTAAATTTGGAAAAGGTATATATATAATAACTTCATTTGTACATGCCCAATTCTGGTAATATTAAGAAATTTGATTATAGAGACCTAGTTCTAGTTGACAGTCAAAAGATAGGTCATTAAAAAATAGTCTCTTTTATCAATTCCGGAGATTAATTTTAAAATGTGAATTTTCATGATACTTGTGCTATTTGAACAGAAAAGGAAACTTTATCGTCGCTACAGCCAATCAATCAACCATAAAAATTGTTATAATTCTTTTTATTCATTTTCTTTATATTTCATGGTACATGATGGTATCAGAAAAATGTTCTGCTACATTTTTTAGATTATTATTGCAAAAGTTATTTTACTGTATTTTCTTAATCCTGCCAATTTCTTTTACACAAGACTCCTGTTTTAATCAGTAATAAAATATATTACTGCATGCACAAAAATACAACCATGCACTATGTTGCTTACTTTGAAAATTTTACTATTTCTCCACACTGACACAACCTGTTTACTACAAAATATTTATATTCTTTATTTACGCTCTCTTTGAATTTCTAGTAGTCAATGAGTTCAGCGGAAAACAACAATAGTAGTTCGTAAATCAGAAGCCATAAAAGGTATGAAATAATAATGCTGTGATTGATTATTTAAAGTAAAAGTAATATATTTTTATAGATGCATTGCGTATTAGTTGAGTACGTATAAGATTTAAAAAAACTTTCAGACGCGGAGCTGAAGTGAAGTGTTATATAAAAAAAGCGGACAAAATTTACTAGTAATAAGCAAGATTGACGTAAACTTGCAAAAATAAACGTGACTTGAATTCAAAACCAGTATAAAATTCGTCGAATCGATAAGTCATGGTCGCTGCAAAGGCTATTGCAGATCTCTGCATTTATATATTAACTTGGAACGTTGGTACGAATTCGCCAAATAATCTGTCATTGACAGATGCACTATCGCTAAATGGTACTTCCAATTGCCCTGACCAACAAATCCCTGATATATATGTTATTGCATTACAAGAAGTTAATACCAAGCCAAAAAATCAACTTTTAAACTATTTTCAAGATGATCCTTGGGTTTTCAAGATACGTGAACATTTTAACGATAAACAGTTTGCCAAAGTATCAACAGAACAATTGCAAGGAATTCTCATTATGATGTTTTCGCAAATACAGCATATTCCACATATAAAGGATATTGAAGTTGGAAGTACTAAGACTGGTTTTGGTGGCTTATGGGGTAACAAAGGTGCAGTTAGCATACGTATGAGTTTATATGGTACTGGTGTGGCATTTGTTGGTGCACATTTAGCAGCTCACGACAAAAAACTAAAAGAACGAATAGAAGATTATAATCAAATTATAAATAATCATCACTATGATACAAACAAATACAAAACGATATTTGATCACGATTTTGTTTTTTGGTTTGGTGATCTAAACTTTCGCATCGATGGTACTGACTCAGCCTGGGATATACGTACTTTAGTGGAAGCTCGCCAATTTGCTGAGCTACTTGAACGTGATCAATTAAATTTAGTGCGTAAAACTGGAAATGCTTTTGGCCGATTAGAAGAGCATACAATTGATTTTGCACCTACATTCAAATTTATTGAGGGTACATCGGATTACGATTTAAATCGTAGACCTGCATGGTGTGATCGCATTCTATATCGTGTTCAAGCTGATAAATATCCTAGCATTAAGTTGAGTCTCGATCAGCTATCATATAAATCACATCCTGAGTATACATTATCTGACCACAAACCAGTATCTGCGGAATTTCTCTATAAAATTGAAACCGAAACTCATACCGATGAAGACCTCCACATACTAACACATAGTGATGGAAATACCGAAACTCCATTAGCCAGTGTAATTATATTGACTACTGCATTTTTATACGCATTTATTTAAGTTTCTGTCTTCCATAGTTTTTTTAGTGTACAAAAAAACGAAAATTTATTAACTCAAGAACAAATCTGAAAGATTGGTGATAAGGTTGACGTCAAACGTTTAGTAGTCAGTATGTTAAAGAACTACCTCTCTCTGTATTTTGGGTCTTCACCTTCGTTTTGTTTTTTTTGTTAAAGTTAATTATTTTGTTTTGTCGAACGAAGGCAGTTTCTCAAAATCTTCTCAAGTTTTTAACACACAGTAATCTCACATAATTTATACTCCTTATTATTAACAAATTATATACACTTAAAACTGTATTAATATTCACCATATTGATTGTATAAGTTTGAACATTTTATATAATACTTATATCAGTAATGCAGATTAAAAATTTTTTGAAATTGCTAATTGAAATAATGTGTTTTTTACATGTATTAGAGACTCTCTTAATTACTTTATACTAGTATCAATAGATGATACGTACACAGTGTGATTTAAACATATTGTATAATAAAATATCATATATGAATATCCGTGACAAATTTAAATAATATAATAATTCGTCTATTTGAATTATTTTTAGTACATGCATATTAATTACATAAATAATATAGACTTAGAAAACATATTGTTTATTAAACTCAGATGCTCAGTCAAATTAAGTAGAAAGCAATATATTATTACTATTGATATTTATTTTGTTTTAAAATTATACAAATTTTATCTTTATTTTATATAAATCTAAATAAATAAAATTAGTAAGAGTAGATATAAAAAATTGTTTACACTTGTTAAATATAATACCGAATAAATAAAATATTCACACAATTGCACACATATTTTTTATCTTTTGTTTTATATACAATCTTTTGTTGTAGTGTTAATTAAATTAAATAAAATAATATGTCGTGGTGGGGATCTCCTCATCTCCAAAATGTTTCGCTAATAATATATATATGCATACCTAACATTGATAAGCTTTGAAATGTCAATGAAGATCTTCAATTTTCTTAATCGTATCTTCCAATGGAAACAGGTGCAATAATTGAAGCATAATTCAGTGACAAGAGTGGTGCCGCTTCATTCTTGTTGAAATGGATTAATCATGCCGTAGAAGAAATATTCATAGTTCATCAATCTAGGAAATAAAAACAAGTTATTATGTGATATAGAGTATATCTTCTATATGTATGTTCTACTACTGTAATAGTTGGCTTTTTGCAATACAACTATTCTTTTATAATATGAATTGTTGCTAGAAATGTAATTGATATGTATGTATATATATATATATATATATATATATACAAAAGTTATATTTTTAAATTTTATGAATTAGAATTTCTCATCAGTAAATAATTATATCATTTTCACATTGAATATCATCAACATATTTAATCAATTCGTCCAGTTCGAGAGAGAGAGACATAAAATAATGAAATCGCAGACAGTGAATCTACAAAATATATAACTATATAAGGTAAAGAAATATATTAACACTTAAGTCAGTTTTAAAGTATTTTTAAGCATAAGTATTATTAATATTTCCATATTAGGCAAGAAAACATAGAAATCTTAATAGCCAATATATTGGCGTAATTCCGAGTAATGTCAGCTATTTTGAGGAAGATTGTTCTTTTCACTGTTACCGAAATATAATATGGTCTCGAAATATCGAGGTTTAGAATTATTAACTTTTACATTTATGTACTCACAAGAACTATATACAAATTTTACATTGATTACACAAACAACGGGTAAGCACAAATAGACACGTCGGATAGGTTTACAGTCCGATATCTCAAAACTTAAGCTATATTGATATATAATAGTGGTAAGAGTTGATATAAAAGCTGTCTGATGTAAAATAAAAA